AATCTTCTACGAAACTGGCATGTCCTTAGATATCGTAGGGAGTAAGATACAGCCTAATAGTACATATTTTCATAGAGGAAACAGAATTTTAACATAGCTCCTGTTGCCTATGCAACAATCCTAAAAAATAATAAATAAAAAAAATACTTTTACAAACTATAGAATTCATCAGAAAATTTAAGATTAATTTCATTTGTGTATAGTTTAGCCTCAGTGCAATTTTTTAATTGTTCTTTTCATTTCCACGTAAATTTCCTCTTTGGGAGGCATTTTTAGACGAATCTATATGAAGAAACTTTCTTTTCTGTATTTACTTGTTAACTGCTACCTATCTAATCCATACCACAACTAGCGATGACTTGCAAGCGTACGTATTTCCTGTGAAAGTACAATGTTTTATAAAATTTGAGTTGATCCTTCTCCAGATTCTAACCCCGCTCTTCGAATTTAAAATAGATGACCACAGTTCAAATTGGGTTCATCCACCAATTTATTCTTAAAATGCCACCCTCACTTCAGATTTTTATATTTTTAAATGTAACTTAAGTCCGAATTTTTACTTGTTTTATTGTCCGACATTAAAGTCTGCAACATGATAGGATTTAAGGTATAAAGGTTGTTAAAAATTCGAAACAAGGACAAAATCTTTGATTAAAGATTAAAAAATATACAAAAAATACTTTTATGTTAAATGTCTTTAGTAAAATGCATTAAAAAGTAAAAAATAATTTTTTGGCTATTAAAACATTCTTGATTATAAGAAATTTTTGGAATTCAGCCAAATAATTATTATGAGAGCTCCGAAATATTTTTTTTCTAACTTTTTTAAGCGTTTTGCCAAAAGCGTTTATTTTGCAAATTGAATTCATATATATATTTTTAACTAATTCAACTTTAATGAGCATTTTATTAATTGGGATGTTTTCTATGCGTACTATATAAAAGAAAAGATTTTGTTTTATGGAAATGTGTAATTCATTCTGATAAAACTGATTTAATTAAATTCTCTGCCTTATTCTGATAAACTTGTAATCGGAAGTGTGCGTCAAGCATCGCATATTGAAGGAAATAAAGCATGTGGCCATCTTTTACGAGCACCTTCCATACTTGTACAAAAGGTCACGCTATATAAGAAATCTCGATAAGGAGGGAAATACACCAAAATTTGAGGTCAAAAGAGTAGAGAAAATTCAGTTGTCTCCCAACTCGAAAATTTATCACAACTCTGCTTCAGACAAAGATAAATCGATTGTGCCTCAACTGGAATTTACCGTTCGTTCATAAAGGTTACTCCCTCGCATTTGATCTAACTTGTGCCCACCGAAGCTCAAGAAAAACCATTAAGGGCACGGAGAGAATACGAATTTCGTCATCATTGTCATAAGTCCCTTTTTTACAGAGTTTATTTTTTACACGTCAGCCTTCAACAACAAGACAAATGGGCCCCATCCGATATGCTTGGTTGCAGACCCAATATAAAATAAAACACAAATATTCGTAGATTTTATAAAATAGAATTTTTTTCGAAAAAAAAATGACATCGGTGGTTTTTGATTTTCAAAAATGGTCAATGCAAAATGATCCGCTCAAATGCACAATTCCAGATACAGATAGAATTATCGATCAGTAAGAATAATTCATTATTATCTGCATTTTCAGTACCTCGCGGCTTAAAATCGTCTCTCGCAACTCACTTTTATCTGCATTTTCCATAACTTTCTATAACTATCAAAATTGTGTTTCTCGCAATAATAAAGTCCTCAGGAAATAATGTATCTGGGGCACTTAAATACCATATTACCATCAAAACACCAAAAACAATAAATGATATTGAACTAAGAAATATCAGTTTATGTCCCAGATTTAACAAGACAACAGAAAAAATAAATATTGTGAACTATCTAAATTTCTATTGCTCAGCAAAATATGCAGAATATTCCAGATGAATCTGTAAACATTTCTGTTCTACAGAATTTAAAACATATGATAAAGAAATTAAAACAAAGATGCCTAAAAATTAGAGAAACTAAGAATTTGCTAATATAAATTTCTTGGTTATAAAATATCCACTAAAATCCACCGTATATTGACATCCTAAATATATGGTTTTTGGACTATAATAGTCACAAGTTAACATTATGCTAACAAAACGAAACAGAGTTATTTCTAGCCAAGATAAAAGATAACCACTGGATTTTCTGATATTTACGTACGATACAGGTACATTCCACACTGCTTTTCTTTTAACCTCAATCTTTGACAAAAACTGAATTTGAATTATAAGCAATCATTTAGCATGGATGATCATCAACCCTGTGATTTCTTACTAAGGTGGCACTTGAATTCTAATGACAAATTTAAACAGTCCTAACTTCTTCTATGAATTACATTGGCAAGACAACAACAGCAAATAGCGCTAACGATGGTACATATATATTATTCCTATATAAGAAAGATTTTTGTGCTGTCCATATTGTCCCAGCTGATCATCAAGCAATATTCAACCATGATAACGGCAGTTCATACAATACTGAATACAAACATAATAGATGTTCTGTTACCTACTGCAAATGACGCACAACCATAAGAACAAAACTGTAAGGGATGAAACCCTTCAATTCCCCCCAAAGCAATTATATACCTTTTCGTGTTAACTGTTTTACTACAGTACAAAGAAGTGCGCTTTTTGAAATGTTTATTGACTTTCGAATGACACTGTATAACTAAATTCAGCTCCCTTCGAATAAAAAGAGAAATAATACCCATTATAAATACGAAAACGTACACCTTAGTTAAAGTTAATTATCAGTTATGTATTTCTATTCGCTATTTCCTTTTCAGTCCCGTAATTCAGATGCATAGTTTGACACAATTCATTTACATAAACAATATTTGTAATACTGAAAACAATACAAAACAAACTCAGATATACACTATACGTTTTATTGTGCTTATGCATACTATATTCCTTTTTGAGCATCAATCAAATTTCTCGCCCCAAATAAATTGCAGTTTGGAAACTACCAAACACCTTGAGGAGTTGATAATTAAAATTATAAAAAAATAATAGAAATATTTAAAACACTTTTATATCATACGATTAAAAAGAAACTAAATCCGATTCTGGTATACCTACTAATCTAAGAATAATTCCCTAAACAACAAAGCACAAAATCTTATATTTAAAAAGAGGTGTTGCGAAACCATATGGTATTTTAAAAAAAAGTTAGGACACTAATGAATCGTGAATTAATGCCACGTGAAAACTTGATCTGCACTTAATGAAGAAAATTTGGTTTTTCACGCATTTATTTCACTATGTCGCAGGCACCCAAGGCTTGCAATTAATGTTAATGTGACACTTCTGCCCATCACATGTGGGGATACATGAAATGTTCCAGCATATGTAACCAGGCGCCATGAAGACCATGTGTCACTTTCTCTTAGCCAATTAGAAACAAACAGCTTGTGATCATTTATTATTATTATTATTATTATTATTATTATTATTATTATTATTATTATTATTATTCCCTTTATTTTTAAGGTAATGTTTGCTTCTGCTCTGAATGGTACTGCTGGGGTGTTATTAGTTTTTCCAGCGTTTCCTTTTAACGATTCATATAAACTAAATTTCATCCTTGTTGAAACATCTAAAAGGAGATCATACGCAATCTTAAACCACTGTCGATATTCGCAATTTCACATTTATGCAAATTCTAAATAGATTACGCGGAAATGTTTTTATGTGAAATTGAAAGAAGCAAAAGTTGGATGACTATGCAAAATGAAAAAAGTTAAAGAATACATCTGTAAGTCACATTTTAAAAGTTAAAGAACACATCTGTAAGTCTGGCGTAAACGAAACAGAAAATCAGTTACGGAATGCATGCAAGAGAAGCTAGAGAAGAAAATGGTTTGACAAAAAAAAAAGTTTAAGGAGCACATCAATGGACTCGGATAAAGGTTAATATATCATTGCTTTAGAATTCCAAGCCATCACTTTACGTAATATGGAGGAAAGCGCAAGGTTCCATGTTATAACCAGATAAGACTTTAGTTGTTTCTTACCAATTTTAACCATCTTTCCTTTGTACGACAGCAAACACAGAAATCACTAGCAGTAAAAACGAAAGAAAAGTTTGGAAATGCAGTATAATTCTTTTCAAATTACAGTTGTGACTATAGCATATGCCCTATAGAAAGAAAGAGCTTTAACTCAAAATCTCTCAAATACAGTGGCGTAGCTAGGGTGGGGCAAAGGGGGACATCTGTCCCCGGGCGCAAAATCCAGGGGGTGCTAAATTGATGGTACGAAATTTTAGAATGAAGTGTTTTCCATTCGTGGCACACATTAGAGGGGCGCAAAATCTTCAGTTGTCCCCGGGCGCTGAAAACCCTAGCTACGCCCCTGCTCAAATATCAAAGGGAAAAGTTGTGCAGACTCCAAAACACATTACAGTTTAGTTTGACCGTGGAGCAATTAACGGCAAAAGTTGCTATTTTCCATTACAACCATCAGCGGATGTGCAATGTTAGCTGCTATCATTTCACGCGAGCACTATGGCGACGCGCGAGAGGTATTAGTATATTAAAACTGTATCAGAAAAATGAAAAAATATAATCAAGTGGTTTAGGATATGCCTAGTATTACTGCACCTTGTCGATAAAGCTAGTTAATAATAGTTTAAAGGGAGTTAAGAGAATTCTTGACTACTTTATCAATTAACTGTTGAACAACGAAAATATTCCTACGGAAATGTGGAACTACTAAGGAGAAGTACAGAACAAAAAATATTGTAAAATGGTAGAAACATAGACTAAACAAACTTATTCAAGGGCATCAAGGTTCAGGTGGCTCCTTAAAACGCTTAATCAAGATTCAAAATTCTACGAAAATTCAAGTAGGCAAAAGTATCGAAAATATCTTAATTACCTTACAACAAAGTACACGATATCTGCAACGCACCTGTGTAACCACAAAATAAAAAAGCACATACCTGGTCCTAAGCAAGGCGCTGGCAGCGGTGGGGGTCCATCTTGATCTTCGTAAGGTACGCAGTACATATCTTCCTCTAACTCACTTGCCTGCCAATTTAATTGCGTCTTGTCATCAACTGGAGCCATATATAAGGGATCATCATCTTCTTTATTAAAAATGTCTGTTTCGGAGCGGAGGAGATCGGCGGGTTCGCTATAATTGTCGAACACCACAAGCTAAAGGGAGGATAATATGACATTTAGCAAGAAAACCGTAACTTTCATTTTTTAAATACTAAAAATATAAATCTGATCAGAAAAAAAATTCATGTTTAAGTTTTTAGTTTTTCAAGTCAGTGAAAAGTATATGTTTTAGAAGCCATTTTCTTAGATCTAATCCAGTTTGAGAAAATATAAGCGTGTCTGATTCACTATTAACTTATTTTTTTCTTCCATCGCTACAAAATTATTAAACAATTTGCCCCTTCTAAAACACTTTTATTTTACTAACTTAACAGTAAAATGTATGCAAACAAAATATATGATTTCCTCGATGCCATTTCGTTTAACGGGAGGGGGGGGAATACGACTTAGCCTGATTACATATTGAAAGCAATAGCATTTCAAACAAGAAATTCCATGCAAAAATTGCACTTCTGCAGTTGAAGAAAGAGGTTTAATATTTAAACCTTCCGAAACTAGTCCTGCAAATTTATAAATAATACGCCGATTCTCGTTGCTTCAAACCTTCCAGTAAGAAATTCTAATTTTCATTGTAGATTCCGAATGTATGGAAGATAATTACAATAAAATGCTCCAGTTTGTATTCGTTAGTTTCGCTTGGCAGCCTTTATTCTTATATGAGCTTCGAAGCCTACTTAGCAACTAAAATCAGTATGCCATCTTACTATTTGCACTTACACACTGTGTTGATAAATAGGAAAATGTAGAAAGGGCTATATAGGCTTTTGAAAAATGTGAATAGTTACTTTCACTACGCGAAAAATAAGAATTCCAGCCCGGCAAAACAGGAAACTGTTGCCTATTTACAAGATTTAAAATCTATCTTCTATACTTAAAGTACCGTATTTCCCCTTGTAAAAGATACACCTTGATTTGGGGATGCGAAAATCGAAAAAACAATGAAAAATAATTTGGACTGGACTAGAAGAGAAACACGCTAATGTGACAATCAAAATCGTAAAAACAACCTTGTATTTAGCGTAAGTATAATGAAACACTCAATCGATTTCGAGGGTAGCTAAAGGTCCCTCCTCATCAGGAGAAAGAAATACCAAGAAGAAGAAAATAAAGGAGAAGAAGTCTCAGAAACACGTGGTCCTTATCAGCACTGCACGTGGTTATAACTGGATTTTTAATCAGAATTGCACTGGCCGCCTACTTTTACTGAGCCAGGCTATCTGATCAAGCATAAAGGACAAGAAAAATTAGCGAAGTTAAAATAGGGAGCGAGGGGCAAATGCACCTTCACGCTCAAAATCTGAACTTCAAACAACCACTGAACGAATTCTTATACCCTCTGGTAGTACCAAACGCGAGGAGGTAACGCCATCTATCGGCAAAAATAACTGAATTAAGATAATAGAATTTTAAAGGCATTAGGAAGGACTGGATTGGACTTCAAATCATTAACTAAACCTGCTAAATCTTTCTAAATGTGAAAAGCGTCAAGAAAATCCAATACACCTATGGAAGAAGTCTTTTGGATAATTTTTGCAGACCCAAAGTCAAAATTATGGTTAAATGTCCAACTATGATACGCTATTGAAGACTTTTTAATTTCGCCTTTTCTAACATAAGATTCATGTTCCTTGATACGAAACTTCAACGCTCTTTTTGTTTGGCCAATATATCTTAAACCACACTGACACGATATACTATAAATTCCCCAAGAATTCAAGACAGAAACGCAATCTTTTAGAATCGAAGGGTGAATTTTATTAATAGGGGTGAAACCAACTTGAAAATTGAATTTCTGGAGAATCCGTGCAATTTTATAGCTAACAGAAGGATAAAATGGAAGCACGACAAGGTCATTAATATTATTTCTAACAGTGGAATGTCTTCTTTGATGGGAATCTGAAAATTTTTTAATGGGAATTTGAAAATTTTGGACTGGTTTTTACTAACCTGCTGGATTGCAATTTAATAACGAAAAACCTGTTAAGTTATTGAAATCAATGTTTATATCTAAGCTGCAGTTTCCCAAATGTAGTGTATCATCTTATTGTAGACAGTCTTGTCCTAAAAGGATTCTTTTGTGGTTACTTATCTGTAGGTTAAAAGCTCGTTTCCACTACTGCGTTTTAAGGTGACATACTACACACTCAGAAGGAAAGCTCCTTTATTAGGAACTAGAAACGATAATGATAATGTCCGTTAATGAACAGGGGTGGGGGAGAAATTGTTGTAAATATTAAATTGAATTTTAAACGTTTACATTTTTTTAAAGAAACAGGTGAGCTAAGGCCTTAGTATTCTAAGAACTAACACGCACGCCGCGTATGCATAATCGTCAGATGCTTTGGTTCGTCGCAAGGCCGCCGGCGCCACCATTGTATAAGACGCACCCAGTTTCTAAACAGGAAATTTTTAAAGAAAAAATGCATGTTATGCATCCTGAAATAGTATGTGTCTCGTCAGAGGAACAAAAAAGAACCAAAAATAATGATTTATACTTCGTTGTAATGTTTTGCAACGAATGTTGTTGATGAAAGCTTAAAAATGTTATGTTTATAACAACACACAGTCAAAAAAAGACTTTTTCTAATTTAAAAATTCTGACTACGCTCATTATCTCATCTGCATGGGGAAAAAAATCAAATACTAAAGTTAAAATTCTGGAAAAATATATAAATTACTATCGCCTGTATACTTTTTTATTATTAATTCATTTAGATGAAAATGCAATTTTTAGAAACATTTTTATACTTCTCAATTTTTAGCATCTTATGCTTTGGGAAAAAAAAAAAAAAAAAAGGAAAGAAAAAGAAAAAAAGAAAGAAAGAAAAAGAAGCGCTCTAATTTTTAAAACTAAAATTTTTTTCCGAGCTCAATTCGAATTTTATTTAATAGCAAAAAATGTGATTTTACTGGATGGCAACTGTGGGTAGTATTTTTTATTTAAAAATTTGATTTTACTTAAAAAATTTAATTATTTGTATAAAATCTCACTAAATCATACGTCAGCAAAGTTCGATTCGTAGAATTCACAATATATTTTATTTCTGTTTAGTTTACATATCACAAGTATGCATGGGTAAATATTTCTTACGATTTAAAAAAAAAGATCGAATTCAGATGTTTCAGTTTATACCATTCGCATATGTAAATAAATATATTTTGATTACTGAGAAAAGCAAATGTTGATCCATTCGCAGGTCTCACACAGCAAGGATGTAAGATTACATTAGTTTTCAGAATGGTGTTAAAACTACAGTTAAAACTAGCTAAACCAGTTAACGAAACTAAACAAAAGTTAGCTTCATTTTATAATTTTTTGTTTTCCATCCACTTCAAGTTTGCTCCTCCAAATTGGATCTTGATCAAGAGCTAAATTACTTAAAAGCAGTAGCTATTGACGGGCTTTTTCACCAAAATTATTAACCAAGCAGTTAAAAAATTCTCATCTCAACACATCAAAAGGCCCACTCTCCTTTTAGAAGATTATAACAATTCTGTTATCATTACTTTCCATCGATTAGATATGAAATTGCGCGTATTTTACAGAAATTTTTTTCGCGTCATTTATTCTCCTATCAATAAAATTCCAAGTTCCATACTTAAGGACCCCATTATTCTGGATATGAATTCCAAGGGTATTTACAAGATTTTTTTGCCAGTGAGGTTTAATTTACATTGGTCAAACTAAGACAGCCTTAAGATTTCGCGTTAACGAATACGAGGCATATGTTAGGAAAAAGGAAACACAGAAGTCCTCTATTGCCCAAAATTGTTGGTCCGAAAATCACATTTTCTATTTTTCTGCAGCCAAAATTATTAAAAAAAAATAAATAAATAAAAATAAAAAAACCTGTTCTAATTAACGGCCCTAATTCCAATCCATCTTTACCTTGAGCCTTTAAGGAAATTAAGTTTTAGTTTTCTTGTTTTATCAACCATTGATATAAAGTATAATTTAAAGAATAAATAATAGAATACTTATTATGTAACTGCGTAACAGTTATTTGCATTACAACTGCCATAAGCTAGTCTTTTTTTAAAGGGTTAGCACTTCTCCGCCGTCCGAAATTTTTGCAGAATTGTTAGTACAAATCTTCGGTTGTGAAATTTTTGCGAATCTTTATGATTTCTACCGCAGCGGCCAGCGAATTTCTCGATTTTCTCTTACAATAAAATTACTACCATAATTATCACTAATTATAATGCAATATTTCCCATGACATTTTTAGTACTTATCAGAAAATATACAAGAATATGGTCACTTTTTCCCCGTGAGGGGAAAATATCATCTATTAACTGTTAAATTTTGCGCACGTTTATCTTTTTAATTATTTTCATATATGTGAAAACAGATAATACCTGAACATTGTTATTCTTGCTGTTTACAAAACATCAGATAACATCGAAATACTACATTTTATACACAAAATTACATAGAAAAACAGAAAATTCAATGAAAACAGACTTTAAATTTTTCTTTACACTGATGATTAGTGATCGCCATTTGTCGACTGCATGAAAATGCTGCTTTTAGCAACTCGATATCCCGTTAAATATATATATATATATATATATATATACAATGCCGTTCCTTTTAACACTACATATCCACCTTGTTAGAAAACCGTATACATTACAGAACAAAACCTTACGCATTGTTTTGCTGCATTGTTCTAAAGAAACATTTTTTTCATTCGAACTCGAAGGATTTTTTTTTGCATTAAAAATACATTTTCGATTTTAGAGCCTTTGAATAGATGCAGCAATTTTTAAAATAATATGAAGCATATTCTAAGAGTCCTCAACAAGAAGCATTTTGCCTATAGCTAAATTTCCCTGAGTTCTACAGCCTTTTTTTCGACTTCCACTTTTTCGACATAAAGGAAACATATTTCGAAGAAAAAATGGCTACATCCAGAATTAGATTTCAAGGCTCAGTTTCTGGATAACATTTCTCAGTTTTGTTCAAACCCACAGAGTTTTGCAGCGAATGGAATAAAAATACAGTGCTTTAAAATTGTCAAAGAAAGCCT